CGAAAACAAGCCAATATGCCGCCGTGGTTTGCTTAAAATATTCACTTGCAAATTTCAGATTTATTTTTTGTATTTACCTCATGTAGGAGTGCGCTCTCCCGTCTCCATGAAATTAAATTTTTCACATTTTGCATATTCATTTTTTTACGGCGATGACTTTCCAAAATTTGCAGGGGTTTGTCTTTTAATTTTTCCATGCGGAATTACAAGTACCCAGTCGCGTAAAGTGAATGTGTTGTAGCATATGTGTGGCACCAATTCAGCCACACACACACATACACACTCACACACACACACACAGATACTTAAAAACGCTTTCGCACATAAAAATTTAGTAATATAAAATAAATGCGATGTAGCAAAAAATAAACAGAGTATGACCAGCACACAAATTCATTTTTAACCCTCTACGCATTGCTGGTTGCGAGGACGTAAATCTTTTTGCCAAACGTAGCATAGTACGTGAGTGGCCTTTAGAATTCGTGATTGAAAGAAGAGAACAGTGTAGTGCGCTAGTCGTAAGGGAAGTGAAGAGGAAGCAAATGAGTGCAAGGTAAATGTGGGTGGCAGTGTGTGAGCGCGCGATTTGAATTAATGAGTTTTTTGGCAAAAAACACGAATAAATAAATATTTGGTGTAAATACTCAGTAGGGTGTGCAAGGCTGCTGGCTATTGTTGGTTTCCTGTCAAAAGGTATCTAGTGCATATTTTAGTAATCCTTGTAGATTAAAAAATATTTTTAATATTTATTATGTGAACATGCACACGTACTTATGTACGTATGTGTATAATTTTTTATTGCAGACGGGCTTTGATAGCCGAAATTAGAGTGAAATCAGAACTGTTAAGTAATGATTATAAATTGTAATGATTACCTATTTAATTTTTAATTTTTTTTTGAAGTGAAACTTCTTTAGCGGCGGTTGGATGGTTGAGAGTAAATTTGCAAATTCAACGGAAATGGTGCAACGGAAATAGTGCAACGGATGGTTGGGATGGAAACAAGTGCTTCATGAATGCATGTTATTAATTTAATAAAAACTTGCTAATAAAAGGATAAAGATTAACACTTAGAAAAATACCAATACAAGAATGAAAGTAAAGATGAGTACGTCCATAGATAAAGAAAGAATAAAGGTAAAGGTAAAAATAAAAACAAAAACAAAGGTTCCGTAAAGATAAAGTTAAAAATGAAGACCAAGGTAAATTTAAACACTTTACTTATATATATAAGGGCAAAGGTGAAGGGGAATATGTAGAAGAAAATGATAAATATAAAATTAAAAACAAAGATAAATAAAAAGAAAAAGATGGTGAGAATACCGATAAAAGTAAAGATGAAGATAGGGGAAGAAAAATTAAAATAACGGTCATTATAGAGAAAAGGGTATAGATAGAAGCACAGAGCCTCAATCTGGGAACTATTTCGGGATTTTAGAGATTTTAAGGATTCTTGGACTTATCGATATAATAATCGATATTTTTGTCGATTTTGTTATTGGTTTTGTTATCGATATTATTATCGACATTGTTATCGATTTTTTTTATCGACATTATAATCGATTTTGTTATAGATTTTTTTGTCGATTATATATCGATTTTGTCATCGATGGTTTTAGCGATTTTGTTATCGAAAGCGGCTTCAATGATCACGGGACTATCGCGAATAATGCTTAATACGCGAAGACCGAAACAGCGCAGGCGTTTACTCTTAGCGAGCGTGGTGAAAAGCCAAATACTATATGCAGCCCCAATTTGGTCAAACACGGCACAGTGTCCAGCATACTTCCGCGGAATCAACTCAACATTCCGTTTATGCGCGCCCCGAGTTTGCAGCGCCTTCAGAACAGTGTCGGGCGAAGCAGTTTTCGTAATCGTCAGTATGATACCCGTAGATATACTGCCGCGAGAATCGACGGTCCTTGCATCCACTCGGCGAACTATAACTCAGTCAGACCGATTGGATACCGAAAAGGAATTATTGGGTACCGAAATTTGTATGATCAGATTTGCTAAGTAAACTCTGCGCACGATGCAGATATCCACCTGCTTCGAGTAAACACCTATTAGAATCTATTTTCCTTAAATTGGCCAATGAACGATGGGCGGAAGAACCAACATGTTCCATTATAAAACAGATCTGGCAATATATTATTGAGAAAAGATGCAAAACTCTTATACAAAATGATCGCCCCATTATATATATAAGTTCTCGGTATAATTACATTACAATGCCTAATGGGAGCGAATACTAGGTGAACGGGTAACCCCGCTAAAGATTTCTGTCGTGCCTGCAAGTACGAGGAGGTGGTGGGGAATGTAGAATAATATCTCTGCCACTGTGGACGTTCGCGATGGTTCTATCATATGAGAAACTAAGGGAAAGGCCAAGAGCTCGTATTTAATGTCATCACAATGGGTCAAATTGGTCTAAGTGTGTATCGCTGCGGTCTGTACAGAGTACTCGGACTTCTTTGGATAATGCGTGGACCAAGGTTTCACCTGCTCCCCAACTTGTATTAGCGTGCTCGTCCTTCTATTATATAAATATGCAAACAATTATTTATTTAGAAAAAAACTTGCACCATCTGCGCCTGTACAATAGTGTAGTTAAAAATAAACTTTTCTTGGGTCAATGATTTTAATATACATACATACACAAATATCTAAATCTTTCAAATCAACAACTCAACTTGCTCCCTTATCTTTTATTTTACTTTTTTATACCCGAGCGCACTTGTGCACAAGGGTATTATAACTTTGTTCACATAACGGTTGTTTGTAACAGGCAAAACGAATCGAGATAGATATAGACAAATGTATACATAAATGATCAGAATGAAAAGAGAAATCGATTAAGCGGTGACTGTCTGTCCGTCCGTCCGTCCGTCCGTCCGTCCGTCCGTCCGTCCGTCCGTCCGTCTGTGCACACGATAACTCGAGTAAAAATTGAGATATCTTAACGAAACTTGGTACGTGGACTTCTTTTTGGCATAGGACGGATGGTATTGAAAATGGGCGAAATCGGACAATAACCACGCCTACCTCCCATATAACGGTAATTTTCAGAAAAACGAAAAGTGCGATATTTTAGTAACTACTAAAGATAATTCACTCAAAATTGATATTTACAATGAGTTTTAGACGAAAAATAAGAATATTAAAAAATTTTGGCAAATGGGCGTAGCCACGCCTACTTATGGTTACATGTGTATATCTTGGTAACCGCTGCACCAATTTTTTCCAAACTTGGCACAGTTGTTGGTCCTGCTACACCATACCAAACGGCCAAAAATTTTTAAAATCGGACAATAACCACGCCCACATCCCATATAACGGTAATTTAGAAAAATACGAAATCCTCGATAAATCAGTAAATATTAAAGCTAATTTATTCAAAATAGATGGTTGCAACAATTTTTTACCAAGAAATATGCTTATGATACAATTTTGGAAAATGGGCGTGGCACCGCCCACTTATGATCACATATATGTATCTCGCTAACCGTTCTAGCAATTTGAACCAAACTCGGTATGGTTATTGTGCTTGCCACATAAAAGCAAAGCGTTGAAAATTATTGAAATCGGACTAAAATTACGACCGCTTTTCATATAACGGTATATTTCAGAAATGCTTGAAACTTCAATATTTCGAAATTTAAGGACGCTAATTTACTTAAAATTTATACACCCCGGCTTATCGTGTAGCGGTAGCTTTCGGGAAGGTGGAAAACATATATTTAATAATTGCGCCGGGTATTTAATGTTCGGCTCCGCCCGAACTTAGACTTTCTTACTTGTTTAATTTGATGGTTTTCTTTGAAAAATATTTCACTTGAACCACATACTATTTTTTCTAATATTCCAACTTCAATCACATATTAAGTTCACGCCAAGTAATCACATAAAATACACACACACCCGCACTCACGCATTTATGTATGTTCACATCCTTATTGTAAGTATGTATCTACATATGTATGTACGTCTCCCGCTGGATGCACAACAGTAGCATTTTCTGCTTCG